TGAAACAACTTTGGCGTAGACGCGACGTTTCACTGAAGTTGAAAGGTCGTGTATATTGTGCCAGTGTGCGTTCAGTTCCGCTTTATGGTTGTGAGACCTTAAATTTGCGAGTAGAAGATAAACGTCGACTAGAAGTCTTCGATTACCGGTGTTTACGCAGTTTAACCCACGTTGGATGGAGCGAACGGGTTAGCAACGTGGAGGTTAGCCGTCGCGTGTTTGGGAATATATCAGGGATAAACCTGGTAGCACACCGAATTCAGATTACCAGGCTTCACCGGCTAGGGCACGTATTACGTATGCCCAGCTGTCGTCTGCCGCACCGCGCTTTATTCGCTGTGGCTAACTCGGGCTGGAGGAAACCACGTGGAGGCCAACAGATGACGTGGAGACGAGGCATGAAGAAATGCACAGAGCCATTAGGTAGAGTAGGTGTCTCACGCCTTCCGGGTTGGGGTCCGAAAGACTCCACAACTGGTTGGTTGGAGACATTGTAGGATATGGCAGCGAACCGACAGCAGTGGCGTTCTTGCTGTCGTTTCTTATCAGGCCAGAACGCTTGAAACGGTGTGTGGAGAGTTCTATTATGCACTGTGTTGACCATAGTGGTTCACCTTCTCCCTCCATCGAAGTAGGTCCAACCCCTGTCCACCTCAAATGTTACCACTAACCTTGTATGCATTGCGAGTTTGGCAGTCATCAGTGAAGTTCGCTTTACTGTATTCCGCTGTGCGGTGATGATGATGAGAGGTGGTGAACAAATTTTGCTACCCAGGCAAATACATAACCTAACGGATGAAGTATTGGAAAACATGGTCGAAGATCCAGAGAACATATAAGAAAGTTTGCAGGATCCCGCTGAAAAGAACTTGTTAAGCGGACGAGAAAACATTTATTCAGTTTCAGCAGGTCAAACATTTATCGAAAGCCGCTTTCAGATCAAAGAAAACAGAAATGTTGGATCTCCGAAAGGAGTGTCTGTGTTCTAGAATTTGAAGCCGGGGGAAAATTTGGTCTATATAACCTGGGTTAAGTCTAAAACCAACCCAGTTCTCACGTGACGCAGATAATCCATGGAGTGTGATACCAGCGAGAAGTTTAGAGTTTAGTAAACTTATTCCCCTATGGTTTTCACAAGATGTATCACCTTCAATGTAAATGGCCGATTCACACCATTCAGCTTCAATCTGTTGGCTCTCTCATAATAAGCCCAGGAGTTTTATGAGCACTAAAACCAAGGCTGACCTTCCATCCATAAAAGCCGAATGAGACAGACCGTCCGGACCGGAGCCATTGTACCTTACCTTGTGAGATAATTTATTTTCCGGATAACCTCCACTTCAGATGGACGATTGATATCAACTGGTGGTATTTGCCCAGTTGAAACAGGAATTGTGAGGTGTAATGTCGACGGGGGGCGAGTGATCTTTGCTTGGAAATATTCTGCACTTTATTCAAGACATCATTGCTGACTCTGAATCAGTGTGCCATATGACTCTAATTATCTCACGCTTACTTTCCTTGAGCCTCTGATTTTAATAAAACGAAAAAGATTGTTACTATCACCGATAACCACAGTCTTTTCCATCTCTCTACACTTCCATATCCACTAGTCCCAGTCATTCCGCAGGCTCTTGATGAGCTGGCATCTAAGGAATGTGTTTTATTTTGCAACAGGAGGAACGGCTCTAAGTGTCCAGCAGGATAGTCGGGGACGAAAAGATGCAGCGTTTTTCTTTGATTACGCGAAGTTGAAGTAGGCGATCAGTGAAGTTCGCCTCACTGTATTTCGCTGTACGATAATGATGAAGTAGGCGATCTCCGTTGTTCGTCCGATTGGCTGGGATCGCAAGTGGACCTCTGGAGACCTTCCTGACTCATCCAGGGATCCCACCTGAGCACTGATGTATCCAGCAACTACCGCGATGTCCGTTGACCAAGCACTTTACAACAGTTGAGAGAGGTCCTT